TTATTTAATACAACCCAAACACTACCAATTTCTTATTTTTCTGATTATAACTTCTTATTCATAATTCTCATAGTGTTAATGCATTTCTTCTCAAAAAATTTTGTAAAGAATTTATTGTAAATTTGGTTAAAAGTTACAATTCAATAAAATTAAACTGAAATTTGATAACAAATATAATTGATGATACAGACTTGATTGAAAACTTGGCAGTTCATTCCTATGATACGGATATTTCAGAAAAATATCATCGAAAATTTGATAAAATGAAATTAATAGATTGTATTGAATTAGATTGCAAGCTGATAATACATTTATTAGGTCCCTTTGAAGAAATAAGATCGCCGTCGCACAAGGGCGAAACATTCGGTCCGGTTCGGATAATCGGATATTCGGTCATCTGGTCATGATTAACAATCCATTTCCCCAATTTTTTTTTTAAAAAAAGGTCTCCCTAATAATTTAACCAAAAATATACAAATAACAAAATCACATGAATTATCATGATAACGATGCAACCGCTCATGATTTATTGTCCATCGCAAAAGGTGTTTAATTAGGTTAATGAAACACCAATGTTGGATGACAAATTAATAGGGAATAAACTTCTTCGTGATTTCATAGGTATACAAAAGAAGTATGGGAGAGTTCTTCCGAGTTGCTATATAAAGAAGCATAATTTTATATCTTAAATATAGTGGTGTTGCATAATTTCACCAATATGTGTATATCAGGGATGATAGACAGTCTTAGCAATCTACTAATAATATTAGATTGACATACGACACGTGATTCTGTTCTAGCCTCAAAAGTATTTGTAACCAAAATTATGATTTTTGTTTAATGTATACAGATTTATGCTTTTGCAGTCTGAATTATTATCTAATTTATTTTTTTTTATGACGCATATGATTTTTATTATCTTATCAGTCCCCCAAAAGAATCTTTTATCAAAAGGATCTTATAAATAATATTTGAAAACATAAATTTCTTGGAAGAAAAGCAAAGGGTGATTGATTCATAATATATAATTAAATTTTTTTCTACGCGTATATTTAATGGATAACATTAAAATGCGAAAGGTAATATGATTAACATTTTAACATGAAGTATTTCGGTCATTATCAATTCATTCTATCTTTAATTTTCGATCGTCTATTTTTTTATTTAATTAAAAAAAAAATAAATAAAATGAATCTAGACATCCGTCTTTACGAAATTTATTTCTTATCAGCAAGAAATAAATTTTTTGATCTAATAATCATATTGCATTATCGCAATTTAAAAACAAATAAAACAAATCAAAATTATTGTTTACTGAACTTATCATTTTTTATAGGATTATAGATTTTTCTTATCTCTTTTTGAAGGATCAGATTACAAAAGAAAATATGCATTAAGTTCTTCAAATTCCATTTTTTTTTTATCTAATCCGCCTATCTCTTCGCTTTTTTGTAATTAACAATGAATCAGATAACAAACCTAATAATTACTTATGTGATCCCGCTGTTCTTTTTTCCTAATTTGGACCGCTTGTGTTTTATTTGATAAGATAATCAATTTATAATGACAATAGAGTGCAGATTATTTTCGTCCCAAAAAAGAGAACATACTTATTATTTACAGTAACGTGTCAAAAAAAAGATTTTTTTTTCGTGGCGTTATCGAGCATTAAATTGTATATAACCGTATATGGATAGATCGAATAGATAAGATAGAGAAAAACGAATTGGTACACTGCATGATAAAATTATCATTAAGGGTTAGTTCGTCATAAAAGTTTGTTTTTTACGTTTGATAACCGATAAACGGTATTTATTATGATTACGGTAATTTTCTGGAAATTGATTAAATATGGAAATATATTTAATAATTGAACGAATCGGATGCATTAATTACTCTTTCAAATTAGTACACGTGACTTACTGTTGATTAGATATTTAAAGAATCGCATTTCTGATTTGGGAGTTTGTGACACAACACAACCCACATGATTAAAGGTATGATATCTTTCCATATCTGATCAACCTTGATTAACAATTGCTTATCTTTTTGCATTTTGCAGAGTGCAGATTCGTGCAACTGATAAACAAAATATTCTCAAGAGAATTGATATTTTCTTTTCTTTTTTTTTTTTTCACCCGATTCTCTTTAAACATAAGGAAGTGTGATAATTGAAAATCGATTTAAAGCTGATAAGCTCTGTTGTTATAAATAAATCGATAGAGGCTTTTTTATTTACTAAAAAAAAAAAAAAAAAAAAAAAAAAAAAAAAAAAACTAGTCTTATTCCGGATTATATGAAAATCAGCCTTAAAACTATATAAATTTTGAAAAAAATTTTTTTTTGTCGTTTAAAAAAGAAACAAACGCGAATCCTCCCTCCTAAAGATATTTTTCAAAAAGATATTTAATAATTTTCAATCATCTCGGATAAATTACAACTTTTTTTCATCGTAAAAAAAAAAATTAATAGATTATCATGTCTGATGTGAAGTATCAAAGTTTGTTTGGTAAAAAATTGGGTGTCGATTTTGTTGCGGCTGCTTCAGCTGCTTTTGCCGTCTCACCATTCATTACCATAGTTGATAGGTATGTTATCTATGAAAATTTTATTTTCATTTATTTATTTGTGCATTTCCCTCGTTTGATTTTTTTCCTTTGTTACTCCTTTTATGCTTTCATGTTGACATGACTATTTACCTTTCTACCTTATTTTTCTCATCCTTCCTTTATTTCATGATAATAGATCGATTATAGAAAATGCAAGCGGAAGGAATAAACTAGGAGCCGCCCTAAAAAGTGGAATTATTACCCTTCTTACGAAACCTCATAGATTCGTTCGTTCCCGACCATTTTTATTGGTTTTTGGAGTGTATTTTGCTACATATGCAACAGCAAATTCAATCGACACAATATGTGAAAGATTAGAAACAGATAATCAAACACCAAAATTCTTGGGTACAACTATAGCAAACATGACAACATGTATATATAAAGACAGAGCATTTACTCAAATGTTTGGTACCGTAGTGCCAAAAGGTTTGCCATTAGCAAGTTACGGTATGTTCGTTACAAGGGATGCTTTAACAATCGCCGCTAGTTTTAATATGCCGGGAAGCGTTGCAGCAGAATTTCAACAACGTGGATGGATCTTGGATAGTGAAAGGGCGGCAAATGCGGCCCAATTATTATGTCCTGCCGGTATACAATTCGTCTCTTGTGCCTTACATTTATTAGGTTTAGATTATTATAATAGACCAAATGTTTCTTTAGCTTCCCGTATGGAATTTTTATATAGAACTTATATTAAGACGACTTTAACCAGAATTGTAAGAATTGGTCCCGCTTTCGGTGTTGGAGGGATTGGTAATAGAATGGTTAAAGATAAAGGCAATGAATTCATTACTGCCAGATCTTGGTAAATGTAATAATTAATTATTTTTTGACCTTTATAAGACTACTTTGAAGTACATCATCATATAGAGTTTATTATATTGGTACACAAATCATTTTATTCATCAATCAAGTTTTATTTTATTTTATGTTTTACTTTAAGTTTTGTAATTTCTTTCCTTTTTCTTCTTTCCTTTTCTATTTTTGAAAAAAAAAAAAATTATTTGTATCTTTTAATATTTTAGAAAAGCAAATTTCCAACTCATTCGCATTTTAATAAAATGGCATGTTAAAAAAAAATAGAGATCGAAGAACGTTGAAATTTGAATTCTGTATTCCGATATACTGACACCGATATATATTAAAAATTCGATATAACGACAATACATCATATATGAACATTTAAATATCGGTATATATAAATCCGGAAACTTCGTTATATCGAGTTTTGATTGTGCTACTAATGAGACGAAGATAAACGCAACAAAGTCATTAAAATCATTCTTGACGTTTGTATGGTATTAAAAAAAAAAAAATAATAATGTTATTTTAAGATGAATGAATTTATTAGACCAATTAATTAATCTTTTAATGTCATATGATAGAAGCAATGTAATTTCATAATTCAAAAAAAAAAAATTCATTAATGAATTTCATAAACCAAAAAAAAAAAAAAAGTAAAGAGGAATAGATTAACGATTAACAAAACGTGTGGTGACGCGGATTTTGAATAATCCAATCGGATCGTGTCATTATCACCGAAAAGGGTTATTTTTTTTATTGATGGTCGGCCGGCGGTCGGTCAGGTTTGAGCGGAGCTTTTGTAAGCACGACTCCTTAAAGTTCCGTGTTCTACAAACACCACACATGCAAAATTAATTGTTCTTTGATGAATCTTACATATTAGGGTTTCAAGTTATCGCGGTTATTAATGCGTGCTGCGGCAAACGATACCACGTGGGTTCAAAACGTTTTCACATGTAAAAACAAAAATTGAAAGACGGGAATCCGACTAATAAAAAATACATTTCAAATTTCCTATTTCGTCTGACAAATCAATAAAAGTCCATAACCAATATTACAGCTTTATTTTAAATTTTTAGTATGCTACTATACAAAATATTTTATAATACTTTCAACACGTATTAATTATTATTACTCATACTTTTACAAAAATTTCTATTCTAAATAATTTTCTGTACAATTAATTAATCATTAATTATTAAAAAAATGTAGGTACTAATAGTAATATTAATTCAAAATATATGGTATTAAATAATGAAACATTTACGTTAAAGAATGCTAATGGGTTTAATTGGGTTTTGACGAGTATGAAACGTCCTCTTCATTCGCAGCATTTGATTCGCGTATTTGATTAAGCGGATTATTAGTGTTATTATTATTGGTATAATGATTAATAATAGAACTATTAGAAGTATGACTAGTATTATTGCTTTTCCTTCTGCTATTAATGCTAAGAATACTGCTAATACTAATCCTACTCTTTCTTTTATTCTGAGTAGGGCTCAAGTTGGCCTCTTTAGCGATTTGTACTTGACGTTCCAACGGAATGATCCTTGCACCTAAAGGAGGAATCTCTATACCATTATAATACTGCGGTACATACTCGGTATCTCCAGAGAATCCTTTGGTGGAATCCCCAGCAGCGAGAGTGGTTTCGTTTATCTCGACCGTGGTACATTTCTCATCGGCGGAAGTTTTTGAATTTTTATTACCATTAATACTACCAAGAGATGAAGGGCTTAAGGACAAACCAGCTTTTGAAGAGTAATAATCTAATATTGGTTGAGTATCTGGGGTGGTACATAATTCAGGTGCATGATGATTATGCTTAACAAAATTGATGGTTAATGCTCGATGATTTATGGGTAATCCCCCTGGGAGTTGTGGTTCTTCTTCTTGTGATTTGGAAGAATCATCTTTTTTCTTTTTCCTTGCAAATCGAATGAGACCATATATTATTATTGATAATATTATAAATGATCCAATTATTATTCCAGCGATCACCAAACCGTCATTCTTATTATAATTATGGTCGGGAACATCCGAAATGGCATTAGCGAGAGGAGGGGGAGAAAGAGTATAAGGAGATTCGATCATTTTTGAACCGGGAAGAGCTCTTTTCGAACGTGTCTTGGCCCTGCCAGGATAATCTTGACGTTTCTGGTTTATCCCGCCTATTAAGAATGAACATAATAATAAAAGGAATTCCTTTTTTATTAAGGAGGGTTTTTCATTTTTTTTTATTTTCATTATGTATTTTTATCTTTTTCAAAATATTTACCCTGCGAGCACCAGTCATTTGAATGGTCACAATTTCTTCCTTTTTTATCTTCCATTGATTTTAATTTCAAGTAAACCATAACGAGAGTTTAATTTGAATAAGGTGAAAGGAAGAAGGAAAGAAATGTTCAAAAAAGAATTTTTGAATGAAAATAATTAGGCGAGAATCTTCGATTAGGGGACCTTATTTTAAAAGAGGTGTGAGTGAACTTGATTAAAAGGGAATGTGGATAAAGTTAGTTTTTATTTTTTTTTTTTATTTTATCAATTCTTTTTCTTTCTGATATCTTTTAGAAAAAAAAAAAAAAAATAAATCCTTATAACGAGGGGCAAAAAAGGGGGGAAAAAAGAAGGAAAGAAAAAAAAAAAAAAAAAAAAAAAAAAAAAAATTTGAATAAAATAAAAATTATGGATGAAAACAATTTATGATGAAAAAGAAAGTGGCGGTCAGCGTTATTTATTTGTTATTTAATGATTTACCAAAAAAAAAAAAATTTTTTTTTTATGTAATATTGTTTTAATAATTTAAATGGTTTTTTTAAGTAAGAAAAGATAAGTTGACCCATTTGAAAGGTGGGCCTTAAACCTGTTTGGTAAAACCTGAAGGGTCCGTGAGAAGTTATATATTTAATTTATTTATTTATTTATCGGGTGGGTAAAAAAACAATTCACGGTAAACGAATTCGGATATTAAAGATCAACAAGAAATGAAAATCGTAATTTGGGTAAACAAAAGCATTCGATTCAATATGAAAAGAAAAAAAATTACTCATCATTCGGAATTGATTTGCGAAAGAGAAAAATAAAATAAAAAAAAATAAAGTAAAATAAAAATTTTTTTTAATTCATTCATTGGAAGGATATATCTTTTTCGAAAATGCGAACAAACCGAATGACAATAAATAAATATTTCTATTTTAAAAGGATAATGTGAATGCAAAATCGTCATACAACCAAAAATCAAAACTTGATTTGTTTGCCTCATAAAGTTAACTATAGGGATCACAACATTTTTTTTTTTGTCAATCTTCAAATCTAGAAAAATCTTTAGCGGTTGTTTTGAAGATACCCAAAATGAAGAAGAAAAGAAATGACAGCTATAAGGTAACGATAAATAAACAAACGGCCAATCCGCTGCCGTGATTTTCGAAAGATTGAAATCATCTTTTTGGCGGGAAAGTTATATTAAAAGTTAGATTATTATTAAATGATGGCGTCATTATTGGCTGAATAATCAAAGTCAATCGGAATTTTGTTACATTCTATTCCCGATGAATGTTTATTTTATGGATGTTATGGGAAAGGTTAAAAAAAAAGTAAATCATCAAAAAAGATTTCCTTGCTGATTTGAGTTTACAGGTGAAAAAATGATTTTGTTTCAAATTATTTTAACGAAAGGATTTATGGAAATCCTTTACGCGTTGAAACAAAGAAAACGGAAAGTTTATGGCCAAGATTTTTGATTCAAACAGGTTTCACACTCTTACATATTATTTGTTATTATTATTACTACTTTCTCCTGATAAAAGGGAGATAAATAAAAACCTTGTGACGAAATTATGACGAAATGTCGTTTATAGAGATCTCATTGCACCATTTCTTGTAAGAATTTCAATGAGTTGAATTAGGTTAAACTTAATAAAAAATGGATGGGCTAATACATTTCAGTACTAGGGAGATAATTATAAAGCATTTCTTTTTTTTTTTCGACCACGATTATATCATTATTACCAACGTCGTAATGATTAAAGGATTTCTGCTTCGCATGGATTTACAAAGTATGTAGACGATGGCCCAATCAAATGCCAAATAGCTTGCTTCAAACATTTAACACCAAGTCCCTTTTCATTGTAATAACCTCTACCTATCGAAACTAGACCTGTCACGTGTGATGTAATGTTGGCATTGATCCCTCAAAAAAATTTGTGGCGTTAAAGTTATGCGACAAATCACTATGTGAAGCAATATGATGATATATTTTTTTTTTAATCAATGCCAATTTTTGATTTGATCACTGCTCGATTGTTAGCAAAAAAAACGGGAATCACCTTAATTTAAAACGACAATCTCGGAACAATCATTTAATCATTTAATAAGAAAAAAAATTTTTTTGTTTGTGCCGAGGAATTAATTCCTGTAAAAAAAGTTTCGCTCTGACTATTGGTTAAAAAAAAATTCAATGCAAGTGGGGTTTCATAAGTCTAGTGAATTTTGGTTAACAATTTCCTATATTTGATCGACAAGCAATATAAAATTAAATTAATATCACAAGGGAGAAAATCCATTGTTTGTAAACTTGGGTTTTTAGCCATTTCAAGAAACTTGGCATTGTAACATACATATACCAAACGAATGGGTTGAGCTTCTTACCCTCTCGAAGCATTTGTCACATTTTTCTGTTGTAAGTTTGACATTAAATGGCTTTTAAACAATCCTTGAATGGTTTTTTAGGTAAAATAGTAGGACAAATTTAAAACGCGTTCATTAAGATTATCATTGCTAATTATGGATTCTTTCGCGTAAACGTGGAGTTCATTATTACTATAATAAAAAAAAAAATAGTACGTCTATAAAAAAATTTTCTTTTTCAATTTTTTCTCTTTTCCAGCTTCTTTTTCCTTTTTTATTTGATTTTTATTTTAATTTTTTTCCTTCTTTTTTATCATTATTATCATTATTCTTATTATTATCATAATTTTTTTACCATTTTGAAATTCTTCCTTCTTTTTCTTTTCCATTTCATTTTTCAACTTTCCTTTTTCTATTCTTCCGATTCACTTCCCCTCCCATAGTTAGTTACACTTCCTTTTTTATTTATTTTTTTGAAGATAAAACGCGGCTTACTCTTGGTTGAATTATTATTTGAAGTGTAGTTTGAATTAGTAGGTGAGGTAGGTGAGGTAGGTGAGGCAGGCAGTAGCAGCATTATATATATCTTTTCAACAATGGCGTCTACACCACATATGCCCGCTAAGACATCGATTTCAAATAAAATTACGTAAGGTTTTAACCATGCTTACTCTATTCAAATTTATTTTTCGTCTTTTATTTAACACCTTCTTTTGTTTTTTTTTAGCAAAAATTCAGCGCCTAGTATCCTAAGTTTTAACAGTTATAATAAAAGTAAAAAATTTGAACGTAGACAAGAAACGGACAATAATAAGAACACGAATAAAAAAGTATCGAGCATATCTGATATTCCTGATATTGCTACTAAACTAATACCCGAAATACCTACTTTCACTGAGACATCATCGTTACCTACCGATACAACGTTACTGCCTACCGACACAACATCACTACCTACCGACACAGCTACCGTCTCACCCACTGATACATCAGTTTCGATGTTAAGTGAACCATCACCCTCCGACACTACTATTAATATCGATTCAATACAAACACAGAATCCTTCACAACCCACATCAACGGCAACTTCGACGCCAGGGTTAGATACAAACGGCACACGTTCGTGGTTATTTCCAATAATAACTGCATTACTGTTAATTATATTATTATTCTTAATATTCTTGGGGTTTTTTATAAGAAAAAGAAAGAGAAATGCCAATAATGCAAACAATAATAATGATCATTATTTACGTAACATCGATAATAGTGTAAATGATGAAGAGAAAGTAATAGGAAATATGATATCAATGGATAAGGAGAAGGAAAATAATTCTAAATCGAATTCATTAACTTCATTAACTAGTATTTCCTCTTCGTTCAAAATGAAAAAAGGAAAAGTTGTGCCTGCTGATGTTAATATTGCTAGCTCTCCTGCTACTCCAACTACGTTAAGTTCTCCCCCAATCGTGGCTAATAATGATGATGAAGGCCCTTCCCCTCCTTTTAGGGTAAAACGTGCCGCAAAAACTAAATCTGCATTTACTGAAATAGTTGATTTAACTGAAGAGGAAAATAATAACCTAAGGAAATCTGTTAGTACTGGCATATACACAATTACTTCCCGATTTAGTAATATTAGCAATGTTTCGAGTGGTAATATTGGTTCTGGAGAACGTTCTTCTGTGAATACCGTGACACCTTTACAACAAGAACGTATTGAATCAATGATCCTTTCTCCCAAGGCTAATACAAGCCCAAGTGCAATTGGTAGTAGTAGCGTGAATAATAATCATTCAAGGATTGTTACTTTTGCGACACCTCCATCAGATACAAGTAGTAGTGATGATAATGATACTAGACATTCTATTTAATTTATTTCTTTCTTGTGAATTAAAAGTATTTACAGTAATTTCATTAATCATAAATATTTATATATTTATACCATAAATCAAATCAATCATTAGCACATACATACAATTCATCCACGCTAAATTAATGTATATTTTTTTTGTTTTGTTTTTCCCCTTCATTTTGCATTTTTAATTATTTTAATTTAGATATGGAGAAAGAACAATTCATAAATAGAATTTAATTTAATTTTGTATATTTAATCTTGAAAATTTATTTATTTTCCGAATGAATTAAAGTTAAATATTATTCCATAACCTTCACTTTGCTAGAAAATTTTGTCGAGTCATGATTTAATACAATAAGTTTTTAGCAATGCACCTACATTATATTTCTTATTCTAAATTACGCACCCCCGATTTTTTTTTTAAAAAAAAAAAAACACGCACTTAATGTCTACTCTTTAATGTAATTAATTGGTTTCATTCCGTTTTAATAAACTAATTAGTTATATAATAAACTCATTGAATGTCTGGATACATTCTATGAATACAAATAACTTATCAAGTTTTTTTTTTTTTTTTTGCAAATATTAATTAAATAGATAATTCACATAACAACTCTATAACCTTATTTTTTATTGGCGAGACCAGATCGGAAATATGCAATATCTCCATCTTCAAAAATATATTCTTTACCCTTTTGTATATATTTTCCTGCCGCCTTGACTGCAGATTCGCTACCATGTTCCTTTAAGTCATTAAATCTCATGATATCGACCAATATAAACCCTTTTTCAAAATCCGAATGAATAACTCCTGCTGCTTTTGGCGCCTTCGTATGTTTCTACAATTTTAGAAAACGTACATCGATTATTAAAATTTCATGAATCACGTGAATTTACTTTATGTACCACATTACAAAATATTATCGTTAAATACCCTAATTGTCCAAGCCCTGACTTCATCTGGCCCACAAGTGAAAAAGTACATGAGCTGCAATGATTGATATCCTGCCACAATGATTCTCGGTAATGCAGATTGAGCGTCCTTTTCAGTCATAAATTTTTCCTTTTCTTCTTTTGTGGAAAGGGCTGAAAGCTGACTCTCGAATGATGCACTAAAAGGAAGTAACAAATCTCCTGGATTGTTTTCATCAATCCATGCCTTTATCTTTGGTAACCTAAAAATAAAACGCAATTATTTGGCCTATCTTTATGATAATATAAATATTTAAATATTATATCCACATTTTCATTTACCATTTGTTCTTTTTCCTAATGTAATCTTTTTCACTTAAGTTAACTAAATAAATTACGGGTTTTGCAGTAAGCAACAGCAAGCTATTAATAATTTCAACCTGTTTGCGTGGGAGTAAATTTTAGTCAATGATTTGCATAAAAGTCAAAAGTAAATTTATGATTTAATTGAAGAATTGACTTCTTTATTATTCCAATCCCCTTTTCTGACATCCTTGTTGTCCTCTGTTATTATTTTCAATACTTTTTGCGTAATTTCCTAAAATTCAATATTTTAACAGTGTTACTAAAAATTCATCATCTTTTTAAAAACATCATTTCACACATTCCAAATAGTCATTATGACACTAACCAATTCTTCTTTCTTTGCTTTATCGGCCGCAGAGCCACCTTTTCCCACGCGTGCCGTGACTTTTGACAATTCTTCTATTTTCTTGGTCAAGAATTCTTCATCTTTGAGACGAAGTTCATTATGAATGATTTCAAGATCTCTAATAGGATCAAGTTCCCCTTCAACATGAATTACGTCCTCTTCAGAAAAAGCCCCTGTCATTCACCATCAATAATCACAAATTTTTGCAAGTCAAAGAAGTCTAAGGTAACAGCTGTTTAGTATTATAATAACTTTTGAAAATAAAAAGGATACGGACAACATGGAAAATGGCATCCACAGCACGAATATGACTCAAAAAGTTGTTACCCAATCCGGCTCCAGTAGCTGCACCTTTAACTAATCCAGCAATATCAATGACGGTAAGATAAGCTGGCACTTTTGAAGCTGGTTTGTATGTTTCACATAACCAGTCAAAACGAGGATCAGGCACGGCTACTCGAGATTCCTCTGGATCTATCATAGGTTATAATAAATGATTGTTGTAAATTTGATAATATGTATATACACTGCTATGTAAATTAAGATGCGTAAGACTAACCTATTGTACAGAAAGGATAATTCTCCGCGGATGCTGCACTTTTTGTAATAGCATTAAAGAAAGTGGATTTGCTGCATATTGAATTAAAAAAAAAAAAAAAAGTATAAGAACGTTTTGCTCAATATATAGATCAATTTATCAAACTAAAAGTATCAATAAATAATTTATAGATTATAAAGCAAATAATATATATATATATAAATATATATAACTTTTATTAATGGGAAATACAATAAAAATGTACAATTTGGTAATTACTCTCGTATCTATGTTTTAAAAGACAAGTTTTTTTTTTGCTTTCTCTTTACAATCGATAGTCCTAATGTTTCCTTCAAAAACTCACCCAACATTAGGCATCCCAACAACACCGATCTTCAAATTATTACTTGGTCTACCAAGCAAAATTCGTTCTTCTTTGACAACTTTTTTTGGAGGCATTTTCCTTTTAAAAAGAGTTAAAGTACAAGAAAAAGAACGAGTTTGTAACGAAGAGTATGGTAGGATACTAGTGATAGATAAAATATTCTGAGCGCAAGGGAATCGTAAACAATAAGGAACAACGAACAAAGGTCGAGATGCGAGAAAAACCAAGTTAATCATTCGATTATCTGCTACTCATAGTAGATGATCACCGGATTTTTCATACTCGTCAAATCGTAATGTAAGCTAATTTTATCTTTTATTATTTAACGATCTGAACCTCTAGAAACCTTAATCGAGATTTTTGAATTAAATTTTATTTATTAAATATATATCACTAACTGTAGGTAAAAAAAAAAAAAAATTTATTATTATTTTTTTTATATATATAAAAATAAAATTTCTATTCATTTAATTCATCAATGCATCAAATCGTTATCTATATTAATATTTCTCTTTAGTTTTATCTTATTAAAAAATCATCTTTAACCTATTTATTGCATTATTAGATTATGCTTACAACCATTTCTTTTGGAATTTCTGCTAATCTATTACAAATAATATTATAATCAGAATTGTTTTAAATTTTTACCTTTAGTATAGGTAAATTGATCTAAATATTCAATTTTTTTCACAAAGTTTATCTTTAAATGGGTTGACTCTAGTAGATAATTAGCTAAAGTAAGAATTATAAATCTTATAAAATATAATTAGCTCATAAATGTTAAGTTTATTCAGAACAGTTTTAAAGCATATCTGAGATTGTTGTATTGTTATTATAATTATTTTAGAATATTTATTGATCAGAAGCATTTATAAAATGAAAAAAAGTAAAGAGATAAAATTCTACTTAATCATCACTATTTATCTAAGCTTTTTTAATTTGTATTTTTAAACTTGAATTATAATTACCTAATAAAACTCTTATATTTTGATAAAATCATTAGTAAAACTAAAATTTCAAAACTTAAAACTATGATAAAATCCTATCAAAAATTAAAATTATATTAAAGTCTTATTAAAAATCCATTAAAATATAAAGTTTTAACTTTTGCTAATTATTAAAATGAGCTTTAACAGATAACTATAAACTAAGTATGAGTTATATTTAATGTTAATTTGAAATTTTGAAAATATGTAATTAATTCAAAAATAATAATCTCTAACTTTAAGTTAGAAGCTACAGATTTTGATAAAATATTATATTAAAAATAAAAATTAAAAAATTAGATTTTTACAAAATTTAGAAGATAGCGTGAATTACATTATATTAATTAATTAAAATTAAACAAATTGCAAATAATTTTTAATAAATTCAATTAATTTAAATTATTGTTAATTATTTATAATTAATAATATAGTTTGCATATATTTATGTAATCAAATATTCTGATTTTAAATTAATGATAGTCTTTTACTTTGTATAATGCTATTAAATAAAAAAAAAATTAATGATTATATTTGTGATATTATTCATTATGTAAAAAAAAAATAAACAAAAAACAAATAGAAAAGTTTTACAATAGAAAATAATTATCTTAAAAAAATTCAATTACTAATAGTAAAAAATAATTAATAAAAGATTTAATTTATAACTGATATATTTTTAAAAAAAGTGAATTCTAAAGCTCTGAATAGGTCAATTTAGATTAAATCAATCAAATTACCTGAACTAAGAAAATCAGATTAGATCAAATAAAAATTTAATCTGATTTTAATTTTTATTTGATTTAATTTGATTTAATTGAATTGTTTAAGAAGAACTATTTGTTATTATTTAAAAACAATGATTTATTATCATTTTAATTAAACAATTTATTATCATTTAATAAGAATAATTAGTTAATCTAAATTTTGTTAGATTAAATTAGATAAAAGGTTTACCTGATCTAACTTTAATCTGAAAATTTATTGATCTAACCTAAATTTTTAGATTAGTAAACAAGTCAATCTAAATTGATTCAAAATTTAATAAATACACTTTTTTTTTAAAAATAAATAAAATAAATAGAATTTTTTTTTTAAGTAATCAAATATATTTACTTCAAGTTTTTTAAAATATTTGAATTAAATGAAACTTTTCTTTGAAAATAAATTAATAGTAATTATTGTAAATAAAATTATAAATAATTATGATTGTAATATAATAATAACTTTTTTAAAAAAAAAAAATACAAAATTAATTTTTGTAAATTTTTTAATTTAAATCAATAATTTAATAGTAAATCTACTCTTTTTATAATTTTAATAAATTATAATATTTTTCTCTCTTTTTCAGTTATTTTTTTCAGATTTAGTTGCTTATATAAAAAATATTTTAATGAAATATTATATCTTATTATATCTCAATTGATTTATATATCTATTTATATACATATATTAAATTTAATAAGATAAGTAAAATATTTTATTAAATAATTTTATTACATTAAATAATATTATTAATTAAATTTATAATAAAACATAATGAAAATTTGTTTATTTTAAATATTAAAAAAATAGGTAACTAAAGTAAAGGAATATTTTGTTTATAATTTAGTAAGAAAATGTAAATATTTAATACATTTACACTTTACATAATATTAAATAGGTAAATTGGTTAACTTTAAAATCATAGTAGAGAAAGTAATTATAATTAATATAATATATCTTGATTACTTCTTACTCATATGATATGAAAAGATAGAATACATAATAAAAGTTGTATTCTTGCTTAAAAAGTAATTCTTTTAAAGTATCTCTCACATAAATAACTTATTACTATGATGTTTTATTTTTTTATTTCAATCATTTTTACAAAAATATTGTTATAACAACTATAATAACTATAATTACTTATATAAACTAAATCATATTTATAATAGAGATTAATAAATTTAAATACAGATTTATTAAATTTTTTATCTAAAATAATTTTTTCAATATGATTAAGTAAAATTATTGTCAAATTAGCAATTACAGTAAATTTATTAATTTATAGAAATTTTAGTGATTTATAATGAATTATAATAATTTATAACTATTTATAATAAGTATATTATAATAAATATCAGATTTCTTTTTATTTGATTATCCTCTTTTATAGTTAGCTATTTATTTTGCAAAAAAAATAAATTATATTATGGATAAGTTATAAATATAATTGTGATAAATAATATTATTATTTAGTCAAATTTATTTTCTATTTGTATTATTTCATATAGAATCAAAATATTTTTCAATAAGATTGTCTAAACTAGTACTATTATAATTGATAAGCATGTTAAATTGATTCTTTCAAAGATTTTTAATCTTAAGTATACTTGCATTATATTGCATAAGATATTTTTTAAGATTGCTTGTTAACTTAATAGGCTTTAATAATAAAAAAGAAGAAGTCAGCTTATCTCTTTTTCATATTTCTTTTGCATAATATTTTTGCTATTATTGCTTTAGCTTTCATATAGGTTTATAGTAAGTTGTAAGATTATTCACTGGTCGAAGTGATAAAATATACAAAAAATTTATAATTTGAAAATGATAAGCATATTTGCTAATTTAAAAGTACGAATAATATATTTTAATTAAATTTGATCGGCGTTAAAAAAGCATCACTTAATGTATTTATAAATAAAATATGCAGTATGTGTAAGCTTAATTTATTCATTATATCCATCCTATCATGTATGTTTTATTCAAAGTTAATTCAGATATTATAATCGCAAATTACCAAATTTCCAATTAGGTAAATACATAATAAGTAAATCATTAAATCTGAAACTAAAACACTACCAATGGTAAAAATTTTTAAACAATGCTATACAAAAAGCACGCTTCTGAAATTAACCATATACAAGATTAGCATAAACATAATATTATTAAACCGAAAACCTTCTATTTAATGGTATTATAGCTATCGAATCTGTTTGAGCATTCTGAGAACAATAATCTTTTTTTATAAATCAACATACAATTCGTTGAACTGGTATAATATTTTCATATGTAAGTTTTCTTCTAATTAAAGCTTCCATAATTCAACATGTCTCATACCATTTTGAATAACTCTGTCAAGGGTTTTAGATAATCCTCGTTGTGGAACATTAAAATGATCTTTTTTGCTATGTTTACTATACCAATCAACTATTGCCAATATATGTTCTGTAAGTCTATTTGGTAATACTATTGTATGCTTAAAAAAATAACAGATAGTTGCTGGCCAGTATTCAAGATTATCTTCATTATTTAAAAAAGCAACCATCACATTGGCATCAAGATCAGAACGACATAATTGTGATCTAAACCGTTCATCAGCAATGTAAAGAGCAGATATACGTATCATTGAAGATGAAACAAATATTGCATCTTTGTCTTGCTTTTGAATTCCAGAATAGAATTTGTATCTGAGGTCAGCATAAACCCGTTCATAATAACTAATTAAGCAGTTAATTAGAGATTTTCTCATTGTTATTTTGTATGTAGGAGGTATTAGTTTACCAGGAAATGATTCACAGCCACGGATATTTATTTGGTCTATATGAAAATATAAATTTCAGAAATACAATGCTTCTTGAATTGAAAAATTGTAT